ATATGCTACAAGAAGGGGAAGGAAAATGTAGTAGCAGATGCACTGTCCAGGAAGGGGAGGGATGAAGCTGAGTGTGCAGTGACCTCTACAGTCACACCAAAATGGATGAAAGAAGTGATGGAAAGCTACCTGGGTGATGACTGGGCACAAGATATCATCAGGGAAATCTTAACATGTCCAGGACTGAACTCAGACTACAACTATCAAAGTGGAATTCTAAGATATAAAGGGAGAGTTGTAGTAGGCTGGGGGGGAGAAATAAGGAAAAAGCTCATCTCTACCCTTCATGACTCTCAGCTAGGAGGACATTCAAGCATACAGGCCAACTGGATGAGAGCTAAACAGCTATTTCACTGGCCAGGTATGTTCAAAGAGATCAAGATAGCAATATTGCAATATGATACCTGCAGGAAGTGTAAGGATGAATGTGTGGCCTATCTAGGACTTCTCCAATCTCTCCCTATTCCACAACACTCCTGGAGTCATATCACCATGGATTTCATAGAGGGGCTACCCAGATCAGAAGGGAAGGACACCATCCTGGTTGTAGTGGACAGGTTTACTAAGTATGCCCACTTCCTGAGCTTATCTCACCCTTTTGATGCTCCTAAGATAGCTAGAATTTTCCTGGATCATGTCAGTAAGCTACATGGCATACCTCAAAGCATGGTCTCAGACAGAGATAAGATCTTCATCAGTCAGTTCTAGACTGAATTATTCACACTACTGGGGGTGAGGCTGAACATGAGCACAGCCTACCATCCTCGAACAGATGGCCAAACAGAAAGGGTCAACCAAGTATTGGAAATGTATCTCAGGTGTATGTCTCACCTGGAACCCAGGAGATGGAACACATGGTTGTCATTGGCTGAGTGGTGGTATAACACTATTTACCACACTGCTATACAAATGACCCTCTTCGAGGCTTTGTATGGAACCAAGCCCCCTCAGCTAGCTCTCGGTCCCTATGAGCAGGCTAAGGTGGCAACAGTGGGTGATTACTTAAAGGACAAGAAGCAAATGGACGAGCTGCTACAGTATAATCTGAAAACTGCTCAGGAGAGGATGAAAAAATATGCTGATGAACACAGGAGTGAGAGGGAATTCCAAGTACGTGATTGGGTCTACTTGAGGCTGCAATCTTACAGACAATCAACTGTGATGGTTAGGAACAATACCAAGCTATCTGCCAAGTACTTTGGTCCCTACCTCATAGAAGAGAGGATTGGTCAGGTGGCTTACAAGCTTAGGTTGCCTACTGCATCAAGGATACACCATGTATTTCATGTCTCCCTGCTGAAGAAGAAGCTGGGAGACAAAGCTACACCTATCTTACAACTTCCAAACACTGATGAAAGGGGGCTGATTAGAGTGGAACCAGTAACGTTGCTAGGCAGAAGGATGATCAAAAGAGGGAATGCTGCTGTCACACAATGGTTAGTACAATGGTGGGGAACTTGAACCTGCAGATGCAACTTGGGAGGATGCTGTGATGATCAGGGAGAAATTTCCTCAGTTTCAACCTTGAGGACAAGGTTTGCTATGGGGGGGGAGGTATTGTAATGGAGTGAGAGCTTAACTGAAGTCAGAAGCAAGAGGTAGCAGGAACAAAGAAAGCGTGGATGTCAGTAGTGGAAGGCCTGGACCAGAAGGTTATCGAAGGCGTGATCAAAGAATCACGCCTTTTGTGGAGTTTCAGCTGTTCTAACAGAAATTCAAAAACGCGGCAACTTGCAGATGCAATGGGACATGTGTCTCACTCTTATTAGTCTAGTTAATAATATGTTAGGATTTGTTAGCATTAAAAGCAGGCCTATCTGCTCAATTCAGTAGTTTTTGGAATTATTCCCTCAGATTCGTCTGAATTAACTTGAGGAGCAATCCTCATTTTTCCCTCCCAAAATTTCCTTCGATCTTTCCCCTTCTTAGCTAAATCCATTATTTTTGTTCTTGTAATTTGTTTTCCAGATTTAATTAATGAAAGTTGAAGTTCATTCGTTCACTATTCCATTGATTCATTATTAATTGGTTTCCTTCATTCGAGCTTGATTCCTTCTGCTTCCTGCAAACTCTGGTTTCTCTGGTTTCTGTACCATAATACTACAATGTTCATGTTTCACTCCAAAACTAATTCGATATGCCTGAATGTGAATTTTTAATTCAAGTCAGTGGCAAAATGGATTCGAAACTTGATGCAATTTTGATTTGGGTAAATTACACAAACCTAGTTGTGGCTTCATCTATTGCTACACAATCTCCCTAACATTTAAAAATATTCACTTCATCCCATGAGGTTTCATGTAATTGAGAATTTGACGGCAAAGAGCAAAAGGAATTTTACTTCTGTAGATTTTGTGTGCCAACATCCACCAACATGATATTTGGGCATGTATTCAGGTTAGATCATGGGGAATCGGTTGTTGATACTGGCCAATGGCAGAGACTTGCAAATGACAATGGTAAAAGCAAAAGGAAGAAGATAAAAGGTTAAAATGGAATGAGGAATAAAAATGATAAGGAAAACAAGTCGCAAAAAAGTTAGCTTGAAAATTATTCCTAAAAAGTATAAAATTAACTAAAATCTAATAATTGAGCAAATGGAGCAAAATGTCATCAAACCGTTACCTTTTATCGCTTTTTATCACTTAACTTTTTTTCACCCAAAAATATCACTTAACTTTTTCTAAGCTAAAAATATCACTTTACTTTTTTCTTAGCCAAATATGTCCTTCAACTCTTTAAACATAATTTATTAGTCATTCTGTTAAGTTTGTGCATTAAGGCCGTAGGAAAGTCACATAGGTGACTTGCACAAGTAATCATTGAAGAGTAAAAATATCCAAATCTTCTTTTAGAGTCAATTTTGGAAGAAAGAACAATGTTCTTGGGGCCAAAATTAGTTATATTAAAGGATCAAGAACTTTAATCAAACCACATAGAAGTCCCTAACCGAAATCTAATTTCAAAAGAAAGGCCTTCACTCCCAAAATTGGGCCATTTGCACGAAACCTAATGATATACCGAAATCTTTACCTAAAGAGATAATATAATCTTGATCTTAAGAGAAGTCCATGCCTAGTGTAAGCCCATTGCTCTTATGTTCTGTATGGATATCACCTAAGCCACCATGAGGAATTGATACTGGAGATTGCTCGTACTTTTAAGATTTTTGTTGTTCCACAGGAGGAAAACTAGTAGTTAGAAGAAGCTAATACTATACCTAAATAAGAAAGATGATGAAGTCGACCATTTCTGTGCACGATTTTTTTTAAAACTTCGACTATTTTATCCATGGAACTCTTTGCGCATATCATGCATGTGATTTTTCAATAGCATTTGACGCTTAAATTTAATAGAATGACCAAGAAGTTGCATTTTTAATAGTTGAGTGACATTTTTGTCTAAGAAAAAAATTAAGTGACATTTTCGGTTAAGAAAAAAGTTAAAGTGAAGAAAATCGATAAAAGATATAACGGTTTGATGATATTTTGCACCATTTACTCTCAATAATTTGATATCCCTAAAAGGATTCAATAAAAAATGTACGCAAGGGTTTAATTAGAACTATTCTAATCAACAAGCTTTGCATTTCCATAGACACTGCAAGTAGTTCGCTTGACCTCCTTTGTCACTTATTATCAAAGGTGCACAGCTTCAAGACCTTCTCCTAAATTACTGCGATGCCACTCCATTACATGCTTATAAAACCACAAAGCAAATATTCGTAGCCAAGTTGTTAAAAGAAAATGTTAATTCTTACTCATATACCAATTCCCGTGCCTCACGCTGGTGGGGGTATCAATGGGTCGGGTTCAGACCCGACCGACCCGAATCCAATAAAATTTCAGGTTTGGGTTGAAACATTCGATATTCGGACTTGAATTTGGACCCGTTTACTCTAACAAAATGGGTCGGATACGGAATATAGGATTTCGACTCGTATTCGATTTGGATCCAAATAATATATTAATAATTATAAAATATAAATATTTTTAAATATATTCTTTTACAAAATTAACAATATTGTAATAACTTTGTAGATTAATTTGTGGTTAGTTTTGGATTGACTATTGCGAATTATTTGTAATTTAGTTTTGTAATTTGATTTGTTTAAGTTTAGAGATTGGATTTGTGATTGATTTTGGATTTAATTTGAAATATTTAAATTTGAACCCTTTAGATCTGGATGTAACCCGGACCCTGTTTCGGAATTCTAAAGTCAAAACCCGTCGGGTATACGGGTCGGATCTAAGTTTACTACATAAGCCTTCAAAATCTTATAAACAAAGTCACTGTAAATATTTTTTCCACGATGGGTTTTTTTTCCCTATCGATGAGGTTTACACACATTAAAATTTTTGGTATTAATTAATCGTATCAAGTACGCTTACAATTCAAAGAAACACTCATTTAGTCAATTAAGGTTTTTTTTTATTTTCTAAAAGTATGAATTATTCTATTAACAAAAGGAGGCTAAAAGTCTAAAAAATATAAACTAATTCATATTTACTTGATTTGCAAATATAATTTAATTCTATTATTAATGTTTTTAATGTACATACATAATAGACGTCATTTTTTTATTATCAAGATGTCAAAAAAAATTTGGAATACTAAATAATAGATATTATTTCCATTTTATTAAATGCATATAATGAATCAAATTAACAATATTATGTATATGAATAATAATAGACTCATATTTAAAGAAAATATTATATGTAATTTTATTAAATTATTAATTAATGATATGAATGGGGGTCAAAAGATTAGGTAATGTTTTTGAAAAAAATTATTATCTTATTATTTTATTGAAATTATAACTTTAGCTCCCCAGAATAGCAAAAATTATTATTTAATGGAGACAATCGATTTATCAAATATTAATTTACAGAGATCTTGCTGTACATGTTGCGAGTTGTATGTTTATTGAACGCTTTTTACGCATTATCCATTTTACTAAAAAAATAACTAAAAAAATAACAAAGTAACTAGTCAAGTTCTGAGAGCCCAGAGCAAGTTAGCGCGCCAAAATGCTGCTTTGGCGAAGCAGAGTATCAACCGTCAAGTCTCCTTTTTCTTTGGGGACTTTCGTCAAACACCTTCCAGCTTCAAATCCAAGTCCAAACCCAAGTCCCTCCACATTCAAATTCAGCCCCAGTGGAAAACCGCAGTCCATATTCACCACTCCAGCCCTGCCCAAATCCCATTTCCAGGCCTTAACTCAGAAGCAACAACAACAAGTCCATCTCTACATCCACTCCCTCCTCGAATGGAACCAGAAGATGAACCTCACTGCTGTTAGAGGGCAAAATGAGGTAATGGAAAGGCATGTGGAGGATTCACTGGCCATTTTAGAGCCTATAAAGACCTCTTATCTCTCCCGTTGTGGGACTTCTTGCGAAAACCTGAATCTTATTGACGTCGGTAGCGGGGCGGGCCTTCCAGGAATAATTCTTGCTATTGCTTGCCCTGGTATATTATAGTTTTTTTCCGTAGTTGGACTGTTGATGATTCAAGAAATTAGAGTTTTGTTTGATGAACATTGTTGATAAAGGATCACCATGATGTATAGTTGGTTGGAATTGAAATGAAACACTGATGAATGTTGGTTCTTGCTTATGTGAAGGCTGGAAAGTTACCCTTTTGGAGTCTATGAATAAGCGTTGTGTTTTCTTGGAGCATGCGGTTGGCGTCACCGGTCTGTCAAATGTGCAAGTTATAAGAGAAAGAGCTGAGGTAATGGCTTTGAAAATTGCTGGCTTGGCATGTGGTTTGATAATGCTGCAATACTTGTCTCAACACTGAAATTCTAATTGGATTGGGCTGATAGATCTTGATCTTTTTCTCTTGGTATTCTTCATTAATGATTGATGACATGACTTAAGTTCTAGTCATTTAACTTCAATTCCCTTTCTTTAGCTTGCATCTCGTTCTTTTCTTTCCCTTTTTTGCGCCTATGTTCTGTTTCGTGATTTCTTAACCAGGATTCTGATCTCCCAATGCAAATCCTTGAAAGTAGGGATGGTAATGGGGCAGGGGTGGGGCCAGCCACCTAAAAAATGTACCAGCACCCACATCCCCTGCCCTGCATTCTTAACCCCATCCCATTATGTAGCCTCTGTGGTTCTCCGTTGGGTGCCCTCTTACTGTGTTTTTATTTAAAAAAAAAAAAATGGAGCCACACCAAACATTCAATCACAATGTAAAAAGTATGAAAATGTCATTAAAATTTCAAAATTCTTTTATCCCTAGTTCATATCTACTTTCTTTATCATAGAACACCTCTTTCTAGTGCCTTCAGTTGAACGAATCAAGGAGGTATTGGTCTATTTGGCAGTGCTGCATCTATGAGCTTAATTTGTCGTAGTCCATAGATAAGTTCTTTTATAAACTTCTACTGTAAGAGTTTCCCTATATTGTCATTTGAAGTTGGCTGGGGGTGAGTTCTGCTCTTATAGGGCTCATGCTTTCTGTTGTTCTACATGTGTAAGAATTATAACCAAACCTAGGATAGCTAGTCTCCTTAATGAGCTTCACAATCCATTTTACATCTCAGTATATCTATAATAAGTGGTACTTCAATCAATTTGTCAGAACTTCTCCTCGGTATGCTGGATTCTCATGTTCATTTTCCTTATACTATATTCTATTTCTCTGTGTGACGGGAACACGTTCTTTCCCAGTGTAATTGACTGTTCCTGATCAGAGAATGAAGTTTTTCGTTTTTTAATCCTTTCTGCAATTCTTTTGCTGTAGTCAAATTTATATTTTTAATAAATTCATTTTCCTGAACTTTGTGTATGATAGAACCTGGGACACAATCCTGGGTTCAGAGAGGCGTTTGACGTTGCTGTAGCCAGAGCAGTTGCAGAAATGAGAGTTTTAGGTAAATGCAACTGGATAAGGACATAAAATAAGGTCATATCCTGTATGTTTATATGCGTCTCCATGTGCATTCATATATTTTTTTAATTATTTGTATTCCTTTAGTGTATCTATGAGTACTATATTGTTCTTCAAGGATCTTTTTGAATCTTTCAGCTGAGTATTGTCTTCCTCTAGTACGTGTGGGTGGATTGTTTGTAGCAGCAAAGGGCCATAACCCTCAGGTTTGCATTTACCAATCCCTTTAAAATTTTTCTTCTACTTCTGTGAGAAATGCATGGCTTCCTTTTCCTTTGAAGACCCTAATTACTGAAGATCAGTGATGCAACATAAGCTTTTCTGCAGGCTTTTCCAATTCTAGATAGGACAAGTACTTTAACAGCAGTCTTTTGTGGTATTGGTCAGAACATTTGGTAGCAGCGATTACATCTGTGGATAAATTTGGGGCTTAGACTAGTGGAATTCTGTTTGAGTTGTTTGAAGGGTAAGTACAGTCGTCCTGCTTACTGCAGATATAAGTACCATGTAACAGGCTGTTTGATTACTTTGTCTAATAGCAGATAAAACCAGTGGTTTTATTGTTTAAGTTGCTTCAGATCGAAACATCAGTTAGTATAATGTAATTGATTAGCATATATCCCTTGATAGGGAAATGAAAATATTTAAAACAGGACACTTTTTTTTTTTGTTTAATAGGCTGCAAGTTATGTTTGATGAAAATTCTAATATGATTACATGAAAGGGATCTTGCTTGCTACCAAAAATAATTTTCCTCTGAATATCTTTGCGCAAAAACTAGTCTTGCATGGCCTGTTACTTTTGTTTACTAAGAAATGCTGCCTGTCTCAATGAAATTTTAGCTCCTGCCCTAAGTTTTGGACATTTGAGTAAAAAATAGAATTTTGAATTGCAGTTGGTAAGGAGAGGAACCATTCCAAACTTTACCTATCAGAATAAATAGAATATAATTCTTACTCCCCCCCCCCCTCCTATCATCCACCCCCAAATGCCGAAGAAAACGAAAATTTTGCTGAAGATTTTGTACAGTCCTTAGAGTGCAATCAAAGAGGTTTTTTCTGTGAATCAACTTGTAAGATTACAAGCCTACACAACACAATGTTGAGTATGAATTGAATTATGCTTATTTGTAAGTGCCTAAGGTAATGATTTGGCTCTACAGTATATAATTAAAGATTATACTAATTTACATGCTTCATTTCAGATTGCAACTGGCGTTTTTTCTTATATAGCAATTCATCATAAGCTTCCTCGAGACATCATTTTTTTATTATCAAGATGTCAAAAAAATTTTGGAATACTAAATAATAGTTATTATTTCCATTTTATTAAATGCATATAATGAATCAAATTAACAATATTATGTATATGAATAATAATAGACTCATATTTAAAGAAAATATTATATGTAATTTTATTAAATTATTAATTAATGATATGAATGGGGGGTCAAAAGATTAGGTAATGTTTTTTAAAAAAATTATTATCTTATTATTTTATTGAAATTATAACTTTAGCTCCCCAGAACAGCAAAAATTATTATTTAATGGAGACAATCGATTTATCAAATATTAATTTACAGAGATCTTGCTGTACATGTTGCGAGTTGTATGTTTATTGAACGCTTTTTACGCATTATCCATTTTACTAAAAAAACAACTAAAAAAATAACAAACTAGTTAAGTTCTGAGAGACCAGAGCAAGTTAGCGCGCCAAAATGCTGCTTTGGCGAAGCAGAGTATCAACCGTTAAGTCTCCTTTTTCTCTGGGGACTTTCGTCAAACACCTTCCAGCTTCAAATCCAAGTCCAAACCCAAGTCCCTCCACATTCAAATTCAGCCCCAGTGGAAAACCGCAGTCCATATTCACCACTCCAGCCCTGCCCAAATCCCATTTCCAGGCCTTAACTCAGAAGCAACAACAACAAGTCCATCTCTACATTCACTCCCTCCTCGAATGGAACCAGAAGATGAACCTCACTGCTGTTAGAGGGCAAAATGAGGTAATGGAAAGGCATGTGGAGGATTCACTGGCCATTTTAGAGCCTATAAAGACCTCTTATCTCTCCCGTTGTGGGACTTCTTGCGAAAACCTGAATCTTATTGATGTCGGTAGCGGGGCGGGCCTTCCAGGAATAATTCTTGCTATTGCTTGCCCTGGTATATTATAGTTTTTTTCCCTAGCTGGACTGTTGATGATTCAAGAAATTAGAGTTTTGTTTGATGAACATTGTTGATAAAGGATCACCATGATGTATAGTTGGTTGGAATTGAAATGAAACACTGATGAATGTTGGTTCTTGCTTATGTGAAGGCTGGAAAGTTACCCTTTTGGAGTCTATGAATAAGCGTTGTGTTTTCTTGGAGCATGCGGTTGGCGTCACCGGTCTGTCAAATGTGCAAGTTATAAGAGAAAGAGCTGAGGTAATGGCTTTGAAAATTGCTGGCTTGGCATGTGGTTTGATAATGCTGCAATACTTGTCTCAACACTGAAATTCTAATTGGATTGGGCTGATAGATCTTGATCTTTTTCTCTTGGTATTCTTCATTAATGATTGATGACATGACTTAAGTTCTAGTCATTTAACTTCAATTCCCTTTCTTTAGCTTGCATCTCGTTCTTTTCTTTCCCTTTTTTGCGCCTATGTTCTGTTTCGTGATTTCTTAACCAGGATTCTGATCTCCCAATGCAAATCCTTGAAAGTAGGGATGGTAATGGGGCAGGGGTGGGGCCAGCCACCTAAAAAATGTACCAGCACCCACATCCCCTGCCCTGCATTCTTAACCCCATCCCATTATGTAGCCTCTGTGGTTCTCCGTTGGGTGCCCTCTTACTGTGTTTTTATTTAAAAAAAAAAAAATGGAGCCACACCAAACATTCAATCACAATGTAAAAAGTATGAAAATGTCATTAAAATTTCAAAATTCTTTTATCCCTAGTTCATATCTACTTTCTTTATCATAGAACACCTCTTTCTAGTGCCTTCAGTTGAACGAATCAAGGAGGTATTGGTCTATTTGGCAGTGCTGCATCTATGAGCTTAATTTGTCGTAGTCCATAGATAAGTTCTTTTATAAACTTCTACTGTAAGAGTTTCCCTATATTGTCATTTGAAGTTGGCTGGGGGTGAGTTCTGCTCTTATAGGGCTCATGCTTTCTGTTGTTCTACATGTGTAAGAATTATAACCAAACCTAGGATAGCTAGTCTCCTTAATGAGCTTCACAATCCATTTTACATCTCAGTATATCTATAATAAGTGGTACTTCAATCAATTTGTCAGAACTTCTCCTCGGTATGCTGGATTCTCATGTTCATTTTCCTTATACTATATTCTATTTCTCTGTGTGACGGGAACACGTTCTTTCCCAGTGTAATTGACTGTTCCTGATCAGAGAATGAAGTTTTTCGTTTTTTAATCCTTTCTGCAATTCTTTTGCTGTAGTCAAATTTATATTTTTAATAAATTCATTTTCCTGAACTTTGTGTATGATAGAACCTGGGACACAATCCTGGGTTCAGAGAGGCGTTTGACGTTGCTGTAGCCAGAGCAGTTGCAGAAATGAGAGTTTTAGGTAAATGCAACTGGATAAGGACATAAAATAAGGTCATATCCTGTATGTTTATATGCGTCTCCATGTGCATTCATATATTTTTTTAATTATTTGTATTCCTTTAGTGTATCTATGAGTACTATATTGTTCTTCAAGGATCTTTTTGAATCTTTCAGCTGAGTATTGTCTTCCTCTAGTACGTGTGGGTGGATTGTTTGTAGCAGCAAAGGGCCATAACCCTCAGGTTTGCATTTACCAATCCCTTTAAAATTTTTCTTCTACTTCTGTGAGAAATGCATGGCTTCCTTTTCCTTTGAAGACCCTAATTACTGAAGATCAGTGATGCAACATAAGCTTTTCTGCAGGCTTTTCCAATTCTAGATAGGACAAGTACTTTAACAGCAGTCTTTTGTGGTATTGGTCAGAACATTTGGTAGCAGCGATTACATCTGTGGATAAATTTGGGGCTTAGACTAGTGGAATTCTGTTTGAGTTGTTTGAAGGGTAAGTACAGTCGTCCTGCTTACTGCAGATATAAGTACCATGTAACAGGCTGTTTGATTACTTTGTCTAATAGCAGATAAAACCAGTGGTTTTATTGTTTAAGTTGCTTCAGATCGAAACATCAGTTAGTATAATGTAATTGATTAGCATATATCCCTTGATAGGGAAATGAAAATATTTAAAACAGGACACTTTTTTTTTTTGTTTAATAGGCTGCAAGTTATGTTTGATGAAAATTCTAATATGATTACATGAAAGGGATCTTGCTTGCTACCAAAAATAATTTTCCTCTGAATATCTTTGCGCAAAAACTAGTCTTGCATGGCCTGTTACTTTTGTTTACTAAGAAATGCTGCCTGTCTCAATGAAATTTTAGCTCCTGCCCTAAGTTTTGGACATTTGAGTAAAAAATAGAATTTTGAATTGCAGTTGGTAAGGAGAGGAACCATTCCAAACTTTACCTATCAGAATAAATAGAATATAATTCTTACTCCCCCCCCCCCTCCTATCATCCACCCCCAAATGCCGAAGAAAACGAAAATTTTGCTGAAGATTTTGTACAGTCCTTAGAGTGCAATCAAAGAGGTTTTTTCTGTGAATCAACTTGTAAGATTACAAGCCTACACAACACAATGTTGAGTATGAATTGAATTATGCTTATTTGTAAGTGCCTAAGGTAATGATTTGGCTCTACAGTATATAATTAAAGATTATACTAATTTACATGCTTCATTTCAGATTGCAACTGGCGTTTTTTCTTATATAGCAATTCATCATAAGCTTCCTCGAAAGAAAAGTTTGTTTAAGCATTAGGAGATTTTGATTTCAAAATCCTTTGACAGGAGGAAGTCAAAAGTGCAAAGAGAGCTGTTAATTTGCTGGGTGCTTCAGTATTGCAAACATGCAATGGTATGCTGCCGATTTGCAGTTTCTGTAATACATTTCTTGCATTTTTTCTTGGCTTAAAAATTTGATTACACAATCTTTTGATAGTAAATCCTTATACAGCCATTTATTAGTCCATTTTATAGGAATTTGCTAACTGGAATAATTGGTTGTAGATGTTATCCCCTCGGGTTTTTTTAGCATAGAAAACAAGTTTTATGGTACACTTATGTTGTTTTACTTTTTACATATTTGTTTAATTAATATATTTGCGTACTTTTCCCTTTGAACTTAGTGGAATCGAAAAGCAAGTATGGACCCAGAACTGCAATCATTTGTCTAAAAGATGGCACCACACCCAAAAAATACCCACGTGATCCAGGTACCCCAACCAAGTTACCTCTTTAAGTATGATTAGTCCTCTTTGTTCTTCTACTTGTACAATTAATTTTTTGTCAGTTAGAATTGAGATTCATTGTACATATGGGGAGAGCAAAAGGAAAATACTCTTTGTACTAGTTATGCAATTTGTTTTCTATGTTACTTATCCCTGAAGGGGGAAAAAATGAATTGCTCAGATGAGTGGACTCTGATATATGTTCTTTTTTTTACCCCAACCTTCCTCTCTCGTCGTGTCCCTTGATGTACTTTCTTTGCCTAGATTTGAAGGAAAGAAAAGATATAATATATGCTTTATCCCTTTTCTTGTTTACAATGAAGCTTTTATGAAAGATGAAATATGTTTATTCTTTTTTTGCAAGCGGAACTTGGGAGGTTGAATTGAGGTTTTGGTACATATGACTAGATTACTGTATATACATGCGCACTGATGATCACACAATTGGCAAACAATATTTTTCAGATATTTTAACTTCACATTTCCTTTTCTATTCTTCAAAATAACTAATTTTGTAATTCCTAGACTGCCAATACTGTAGAACTCATTTTATATGTAATATTTAGAGGATGTTTACAACACCTGGTTTATGGATACCTATAGCTCCTTCATAAAAGCAAAAATCAACGTGCCTCATAGATATCCTCTCAAATTATAGATGAGGAGTATGCTACAGATTATGCATGATAGCATACTATATCAGATAGAAGTGTACGAGTTTTTTTTTTTAAATAGACTGAACCTCTCCAGCAATTGGTGTAGGCTGAGCAGAAGATATTCCTTTGTAAAAGGCGAAAGAAAAAAGTTCTGTAGACAACATATCATCATTTGTTTATTATGCCAAAAGGAATGGGAGGAAGGACTGACAAAAGAAATAATATGCCCTAGAACTTTTCATTAGCATAAGAAAACTTCAGTTTTTTCCTTTCAGTTTTCGTCCAACGGGTTTACGAGTTTCTAGTATGTAGCACACTAGACACTATCAGAGTATCAGGAGGTTTTCAATGTAGACATATATATCTATTTAATGTAGAAGTGCTAACAGGAAAATATCCTTTATGGCCTATGTAAAGCTTCAGAGAACTCTGTAATTGATATATCTGCTGACGCTAATGTTCCTTATTTGCTGTGGCAGTGCATGATGCAATCTTAGGTTAGGGTAGAAGTTTCTCTAGGGTGGGGTAGTCATATAAACCTCATTTTTTGGTTATATTCAACAATATCTTGATCTATCCTGTAGACTTTTTGGCCACCAGACCTCATTTCAACTCTTTAATATGAGGTGACGCCTTGAAAACAAAGTTATCTCTTGATGGAGAAAACTATCATTTGCCTAACACGTTTCCCACTTGGAATCGGTTAAAAAAGGGTCAAAGTTGAGGTTCTTTAGATATTTAAGTTGGAGATATTTGCGTTGGACAATATTCGTTATCAGATATAAAAATTTAGAAATGAATTACAATCTTTGGCTTAGCAATTTCTTATATTCAATTTGAGGCAATCACTTAGGATGGTTTTGAATGTGAAGCCTTCATCAGAAATCTGTCATCACTTACAGTATTTCATTTAGTAGCCCATTTTTATTCCACTAAATTGCTTGTGCTGTTCCCCAAAAGACTTTCCTCATCCCGTTAAATAATTAAGTAGATTTTGTGATATAGTCAATTAAGGATATGAAACTTCGCTCCATATTTTCTCAGATAAACTACCTTTGTCCTCCCAACTCTATAAAAATTTGGTTAAGACAGAAACATAAAGCTTAAATAACCAAGAAAAATGGGCTATCACAGGTCCAAAATCAGTGTGATACACGTACATATGCGTTTTTGTACGTGTGTTTGGATGAGCACATGCTTATGCTAGTACATTACTTTCTTTATAATCTAGACGAATGCTCCGTTGACACGTTCACTCTCATGCTTGCCCATGTAACTTTGATGGTCCTTGTCTCCTTATATTTCTAGATTTTATTGATTGGCATAATTAAATTGCTCCTTTGACACATCCACTCTGATGCTTTGCCATGTGGCTTTGATGGTCCTTGTCTCTTTGTATTCCTAGATTTTATTGGCATAATTAAGACCGACTTTTCCTGGATGAAAATAACGAAGAGTGGAGACGTCACTGCCACTAATCTCCTCATTCTCTTTCCTCCCTGACATAAGAAGTGCCTCACTATAGCAGTGCAAGCAAAAGTTTTTGTGAACTTGTTGATTAACTTCAATTCAACAGTCTATCTCTAGCTCCCCCAGCCAAACCAACTATTCCCCTCCCTTTCTGAATATGTGCATGCTCACGCCAAACTGGCTTCCATCTGTACGTCCATAGAGAAACACAAGTATGCATACATGTATACATGGATATTTATCTATGTTCATCTGTACGTGTAGTATAAAAGTAGATAAAGGAGCTTAAGGTCTTGTTTGGATTGCTATTTTTTGGATTTTTTGTTAAAAAATATATTGTAGCTAAGTCTATAGTTGTCCTGCTAAGTCTAAGAAAAAAATATCTATATATTTTTATAGGCCTAAGTCTATAGTTTTCCTGCTTCTTTCTTCTTTTTATTTTTATGGTACATTCTCTTTTTTGAAAGTTCAATGCTTCTCAAAAAGAACTAGTTATTCACCCAAGGTGTTTTTTTTTTCTTAATCTTCAAGATTTTTTTTTATAGATGAACATGGATACAAAAGAAGTAAAATAATAAAATTCAACTAAAATTTAAAATACTACGTTTTCCGTGAATACATTTTCCAATCACTTTTTTACCTCACCTATATCAAATCGTTATAGTAATTTTTCTACAAAAAATCCAGAAAAATGTAATCCAAACATGACAAATAAAGACAAACATTGAAGCTAAACGATAAAATATAGTCACTCCTGTACAATACACTAATTAGTTCTCGACAAATCTTACCTTGATGGTGATAAACTATTGTGTGAGAAAGTAAATATATTAGAGAGTATATCAAGATTTGATTCCTTTTTGAAAGAATGTACAGAAAAGAAATTAATAATAAAAAATCCTTCAAAGGAAAAAGAACAAAAAAATGTCTACATAAGCAGCTTGTGATTATGATTCTAAAAAACAGGTAACTGATTTTGAATCTTCTAATTAGAAGGAAATAGAATATATATTTTCCTTTTTTTTTTGTACGCTGGAGAATGAATGGAAATTAATTAGAATTTTATAAATTATAATGATTAATTATAAGAAAAAAATATATAATTCCTTCAATTTTACAAATTGGAGAATGAACAAACCTCGATAGATTATACCAAAAAAAAAAAAGAAAAGATACAAATTAATGTAAAAAGGAAGAGAATTAACTGTTAACGAAAAATGAAAAGAATAAGAATGTAAGAAATCAATATGTTTATTGATATTTGTTATAAATATGGAAGTAATGAATTACAGAAAAAAAATTCCAAAATTTAGTAATAGTAACTTCTAATGTATACTCACTATGAATTGATTGTATTGATTTTTAATTGGTAGAGGTAGCAGAAACTTAGACGTTAAAACTAAAGACCACAACAGGAAATAAAGAACCTGACATATGCGTATCTTGATTTTGTGCACAAGAGTCCTGAGCCATTTAGCAATTTATACTGAGTAAACTGTTAATATCTGCCAGATTTTGGTATCACAGTCTAGACTGCTACTGTAAAGGAGAAATGAAGAAGCTGCATCCGATGTATTGCTATGATCTTTTGCCATAGTCAAGCACTTTACTGGGCCTGTGTGACCTTCCAAAACTGCCAAGCAAGAGTAGCTTCTTTCAACCCCTGTCCAAATTCTTACTGTTTTATCTGCTGAACCACTGCAGACCAAATTTGACACTACAGCCAAGCATAGGATGGACTTTGTGTGACCCTTTAGAGCACCCACTGCCAACATCCAACTGCCATCATCCTTTTCCCAAACCAATACAGACCTGTCACAGGCACCAGAATACAACACAGACCCATCTGCACTTAGCGCCAATGCATTCACCCCAGATTTATGCCTTTCCAGAGTAGCAACTAGAGAATGCTTCTTTTGTCCCAAGCCTTTTCTCCATACTTTGATTTTCTTGTCTGCTGATCCAGTATAAACGTGCCCATGAGTTGATAATGCCACTGCATTGATTGCATCATCATGTGCATTTGCTACTGATTCCAAGCATTTGAAATCTGTCGTCCGCCAAATCTTGAGTGTTCGATCCCAAGAAACCGAGTAGAGATGGGACTCATCAGTTGACAAGGCTAGTGCTGAGACTGTGTCAACATGCTGTACCCATATGCATTTCTTGTGTCGTCGGACTTGAACATGGTTCTTAGGGTTAAGACAGTTGAGAACACGATCACTTAACTTTGGCAGGGTGGCTAGATGTGTGAGCTTCTTCTTTTCTGCTTTATCACTGTCGATTTTCCAAACTCGGATTTTGTGATCTTGATGAGCACTAAACAGTTTATCAGCTGAAACTACTAGGGACTTTACTGCTCCCTGTCCAGCAGTTACCACGTTGCCAGTTAATTTTTTATTAAGAGGCTTTAGATCGTTCCGCCTCCATAGACGTATTTCTTTGTCAGAAGATCCTGTAAGAAGGAACTTTCCTGCCAGAAAAAGTGAGGATGTATAGGAGCTCTGACCCGTTAGAGTAGCGATGCACTGGTGGTGGGCAGTTGGAAACTGGTGCTGCTGGAGCTGGAGTTCAGATGTAAGAGAAGGAATTGACCGGAGGCTGGGCTGGGTTTGCAGGGAAGTTGGCTCCTCCTGGCCAAAGCTTCCATGGTGTGAAAGCAAATTATTGCTTGAGTTACAAGTTTGATGATACTGCACCATTCTATTCACCAGCACACAAACACACACACACACACACACACAGACTCAGACTCACTATTTGATGTGTAAAGATAGCAGAAACAACACTAACAGGGTCACTTAAGTAGTCTCTGCCTTCTGAAAACAAAAAAGATGGACAAAGGATTTGGCAATAGTCTTTTCACCAACCTAATGTAAAGAGCAATGATGCTCCAGGCAAGAATTCTAGGGAGGGACGGTTTGCCATCATAATTACGTGAAAGTTTGGCCCTAATTAGTTGTTTGATGGACCAGATCAAAACCCTTTTAGTTTCTTTCAGAGAGAGAGAGAGAGCCTAAAGGTCATTATCATATTTAGAAGGTTGGAACAGGTTGAATATCTAATCAAGAAGAAAAACAAAATTTTTTTCCCCTGCTCCTGTGATTGGTAAGTTTTTCCATTGGAATGCACTTTTGGTCGACAATTCTGTGATTGGGGAGAACTTAATCCTTTGTGGCCATAGCAAAT